GGGGGGGGGGGGGGGGGGGCTGAGGCGTTGATGAAACATTCCTGTGTCCAGGGGGTATTCTTTGAGGAGAGCACTGCTTGTTTAAGGGAGGGCAGCGGGGGTGACAATGCAAGAACCTCGGGCAAGGCCACTGCAATCTAATTCCACAAGCCCTGCCTAGCTACAGCATTCCTCTTTGAGAGCTTTCACCCATCTAGAGTCTTGCATTGTGGGGGGTGTCGGGCTATGACACCTCACAGCCCGACACCATGGACGAAAGAAACTATATAAGACTATATTAGGTGATCTGGTCCTATAAAAGTGGTTAGCACAAGAAAAGGGAAGCGGGGACTTGCTTTGGAGAAATAACTGCCTACTGAAACACACTTTCATTGTTTACTGATGCACAGTTTGGAGTTAGTAGTTCCACAGCACCAATCCCAAACTTTTATCTGGATCTCCCCCCACCCCCCTTCAGCCTCAGAGATTACCGCTTCACAACCCTGGAGCAGGGACGCAGTCTGCCTGGTAATTTAATGGCTAATCCCCTGCCTCTTCCCTACAAATCTCTTCCCTGATAAAGGGGTTGCTTCTACATTAGTAAACATGGGCGACTTGGCTGGCGAGGCTGACGCGCAGATAAGAGGACTGGTTGAGGAAAGGGGAAGTCGAGGGAAAACCAGTTTCCGTTAAAGTTTCATAGGAAAGCCCCTTTTGCATTTTGTGGCTGGAAACTCACCGTAAGATGAACAGTTAAACCATGAAAATGCCTTTCAGATCACTGGTAAGGCAATCTAATTTTAATGTACGAGTTAAATAATGCATTTTTGCACATGTTGGTCAATGCATGAAGAAAGACAAATCCCCCTTGGCCAGTATCTTATCAGGATAATGGTGTTAATGGTTTGATGGTGATATGCAAATGTGTTGTGCTTTACGAGTTACCATACAGTCCATTGTTAATGCACATTCATTACCCCTTTCACCCGATTATGTTCTCCTAATGATCGCCGCCCTGCTTCCCTGGCTAGACACCGATGGCTCACTTAAAAGGAATTCAGTTCCTCAGATCTTTCTTCACAGGCTTACACTGTAGGGCTGTGCGGACTGCCTACGTGATCACGCGTAGCTGGATGGCAGGCTGTG